CTGAGGGATTTGGGCTTCTTTAGTCTACAGAAGAGCAGAGTGAAGGGGGATTTGATAGCAGCCTTTAACCACCTGAATGGAGGTTCCAAAGAGGATGGAGAGAGGCTGTTCTCAGTAGTGGCAGATGGCAGAACAAGGAGCAATAGGCTCAAGTTGTGGTGGGAGAGGTCTAGGTTGGATATTAGGAAAAACTATTTCCCTAGGAAGGTGGGGAAGCGCTGGGATGGGTTCCCTAGGGAGGTGACGGAATCGCCATCCCTTGAGGTTTTTAAGTCTCGGCTTGACTAAGCTCTGGCTGGGATGATTGAGTTGGGATTGGTCCTGCCTTGGGCAGGGGGCTGGACTTGATGACTCCTGAGGTCTCTTCCAGCCCTGGGATTCTAGGATTACAGCAATTAAAGCTTGTCTGCCAGTTGACTAGCCAGGAGCTCCGTTCTGCACACGTCCGTACTCACCTCTCCACAGCTCTGTCCAGCAGATAGAACAGCGCCTGGAGCACCACATGCTGGACGCTTTTATTGGGGTGGTGTAACTTGGCGGTGAAGAGGGCGATCGAGGCTCCGGAGGGGTCCCGTGCACTCTAGAAGGGAATCGGGGGAACAGCATGAAGCCCAGACAGGCAGCAGAACGGTCTCTGTAGAGAGCACGGGTGGTACAAAGTTCTTTGGGGCAGGGATGGAGTCTACCCGTGTGTTTGTGCAGCACCGAGTGCACGGGTGCCTCGCGTTACAAAGTCAGCATGCATGTTTCATGCTGCAGCAGCCTGGATAGCAGAACTGCGCCTGTGAATGGATAGCAGAACTGCGCCCGTGAACTGACCTGCCCAGATCACGGACTTATTTTAGGGAGACCACTTTCCCTTTTCACAATGGGGACGTGCTTGTGAGCTCGCCTGCCGGGATCCCGAGGGGAGAGGGGGGGAAGGGAGGATAAAAGCAAGACTTGCCATTGTGGATGTAAAGAGAACCCCATCTCCTTACTCATTCCACTCTACGAGCCTCCCACTGCACCCTAACAGTGAACCAGAGGCACCCCAAAAAGATCACCTTTAGCTGGCATTTTCCCCAAGCCAAACAGATTAGCCAAAGGAAGGGGATATGCTGTGGGAGTAGCTAATGCCAAAGATGGCTGCACAGGAGAACCGGCTCACGATCCTCAGTGCTCAGGGCAGCGATGGGCGAACCTCCTCGACCAGAGGCAGGAGCAGCGCACACGCCCCATGGCACCAACACGGCCCATGGGAAAGGGAGAAAAAAGGGGAGGAGTTGGGGATGCGTAAGCACCGCCCCCCCTTTCTTCAAGGATTCCATCTGGACCGCCCCAAAACCCCGCGACCCTGCTTGGGGGTTACAATCTCACGAGACGCAGGGTATTTCACCTTCCAAGACCCGTGCACAGACCGGGGCCGTGTGAGAGAAAGGCCAGGGCGTGATCTCACACTTACTAGGATGGTGAATTTCCCACTGAGCAGCTCCGAGCGCAGGGGCTCTTCGTGAGGTTTCAGCTTCACAATTCCTTCCTTCAGCCTGGTTTCCTAAGGGGTTCAGAAACACACAACAGTCACAGGGGACAGCATAGGAAGCAGCCCCCAAGCAGCTGCCATTCCGATTTCCGGCACAGCAGGGAATCATCACAGGCACACAGCCAGCGCCACTGCCCACCTGCTCAGACCAAGCCTCCTGAAATCTAACAAACCTCTGGCCACCTTCTCGCCTCCCTGCAGCTGGCTACAACCACCAGCCATCAGCTGGACCACCCACTCTAGCCAGCTGGACCACCTACTCTAGCCTGCTGGCCCAGGACTGGAGTCAGTGGAGAGACAAGCCACGTTTGTCTGAATAACGCACATAGCTCCGAGTGGTTTTCTATTTGCTTTAAAATGAGGTTCCACTGTAAGGAGGGGTCCATATTAGAGATGTTTGCGTGTAAACGACTAATCGTTTAACATCTGCTTATTGGTTAACAGTGTCGATTACACCCGGTGAAGGGAGCTGGCAGCACCACTCCGGGGAAGCTTCGTGGAGGGCTCTGCAGTATAAAGCTAAAGCTTTATTAACCGTGTAACTGCTGAGATTTTCAGCAATTACACGGTTACCCGAATACATGATGTTTAACATCCCTAGTCTGGTCGAAATGGCACTTCCTTACTTGACAGCCCCTGCTCTGGATGCTTGATCACTGCTAGATCTGGTCACATTTTGTGCTTTTCACCCCAGTGAGCTGGGCAGAGGTAGTCCAGCCCCCGGGGAGAGTGAGTGGCAGCCTGGACTTCTTAGTGCACGGACAGACCTGGTGTTGTGAAGACCAGGACTTCAACAGGGATAAAAAAAAGAGAGCTAGATAAATTCATGGAGGATAGGTCCATCAATAGCTATTAGCCAGGTTGGTCAGGGAGGCTGACCCTAGCCTGTTTGTCAGGAGCTGGGAATGGTGGCAGGGGACAGATCACTTGATAGTTACCTGTTCTGTTCACTCCTTCTGGGACATCTGGCATCGGCCACTGCCGGCAGACAGGATACTGGGCTGGATGGCCCTTTGGTCTGACCCTGTATGGCTGCTCTTATGACCTGGTATGTTCCACCCCCAGATCAGCTGTATCTGGGCAGACCCCCCAAAAAGCAACCGAGCTGCCAGATGTAACCGGGGAGGGTCTGCCAGGCAGAATCATTCTTACTGGCGCTGATGTGCAAGAGGGGAGAACCTGGCTCAGCTCGCAGAACCCCAGTTGGATTTGCAGGGCTGGCAGACAGAGAAAACCCGCTGAATCAGGGCACGTGAGAGACAGCGAACAACCTCAGCGCCTCTCTCAAAGAACCTGTTGCCTGTTCAATGTCTTGGGTCAGGCTACCTGCCCACCAATCAAGGCTGAAAACAGGCAGAGCTGCCCTGAATGGTCACAACTGAAAAGTCACCTGGAGGTTCTGTGGTTCCCTCTTCTCAGTGGCCCTGCATCAGAGGTGTTCGGTTTGCAAGTACCAAGCTATTACTTAATCACTTATCCCCACTGATATCAGTGGGGCTAGTCGCATGCTCTTAAGTACTTTGCTGAATGGGGACCATTGGGAGCAGTTTCATTATAAGGAAGTTCTACTACGTCAGTGTTCCCTGTACGCTGGGTGCATGTACAGCCGCTCAGGAGAAACTCCAATGTTGCCCAGCTGATTATCAGAGCGCCCACGGCTAGGTTTTGTGTTTCTGTTGGTGGTGCACATTCGCACCTGCCTCAGTGCACATCAAATATTTATTCCACACATGGATGAAAAGATTAGCGGGAACATTGCACTACGGATAAGTGTTTTACATGAAAACCCAGACACCGTATCTCCCAACCCACCTCGCACAAGCGCAGGATGTTACTCAGGACTATACAATTCCTGGCCAGGTGACAGGACGTGTGTAGGATTCTACAAGGCAGGTAACAGCTTCCCGTCTGTGACCTGATGCAATGAGACGCCAAGTGTCTCCCTGGAGTGCTGCAGGCCTTCATTTCCTGCTGCGATCCCACAGGACCACACCCTTGCTTTGGTATCTAGCCTGGTTCCTAGCCTGAGCCTCGGGGCACAAGGAAGAAGTGGTTTAAATGCCACCTTTGTTCAGCAGTGAATGCTCAAGCACGGCAGCCAGAAAACAGTGGCTTGGGATCCCTTCCTGTCTGCTTGTGGCACAGCTGGGGGGTTGTTCAGCACCATAAACATCCTGCTTTTGGTCTGTCCCGCAAGGAGAGAAGAGCGGGACTCATGCACATTTTACACCTGATTGCAGAGGGAGTGGGCGGCACCTGAGTGTCCAGCATCAACGTTCTAGCTGCAACAATTACCAGGCATGCCATGGGCCAGCTCATCTTTCCTTACATCGAGGCAGCGTGGCCTAATGGCTAGAGTGTCAAGGACTGGGCGTCGAGAGTTCTCTCCCTGACTTCACCTCAGACTTGCCCTATGACCTCGAGAGAGCCACTTAACCTTGCTACGCGTCAGTTATCCCAGCCAATAACTTCACCACCTGCACAATATTCCTCTAGCATCCAGAGTCTCTAAACGGATATTTTATGTTCGCTCAAGGGAACAAGTTACCTCGGAGGGATCGAGACTATGAACTGGGACCTAGATTTCCAAAAGTCCTCACACATCCCTGTATCTAGATAACTCGATCTACATTTCCAGAAATGACCCAGGGATTTAGGGGGCCCAACTTGAGAGACCTCAGATATTACGTACCACATCCTGGTAGCGACAGATGCTCGGCTTAAACCCGAGGTGCCTCCCTTTAGCTGCTGAAAGAAGCTACATGCTGTGAGACACAGCAGACTAGGGCTGTGACGCAGCTCTGGGGTTTATATAGGACACAAGAGTCTAGCTGCCACGGTGTCCTTTGTGGATGTGGTTAACCCACTAGCCAGCTCCAGGGGCAGAAGATTCTGGGTGGGTGCAAGAATCCCTACCGAGGCCGTCTGAGGTTTGTTCAGGTTTCACAATCAGCAAAGAGGACACAGGACCCCTTTTTAATCCCGAATAAAAATGCCAGCAGTAGAAACCTTTGGCCCGGGAAGGCTCTGCCACTAGCTCTGTAGCTGCTTTGGAAAGGGGAGTGGTGAACTGCTAACAGCGTCGCCTCAAGAGGATTAGAACAGATGTGTACAGGTTGCACGTCTAAAATCTGGATTCTCTGGTCCAACAACATCTGCAGTCCGGCATGACTATGGACATTCCAGGATCAGAGAGTCCCAGCGCGCTGCAGAGGGATAGGGGCTCGGGAGTCAGTGTGTGGCTCAGCAGGGCTACGAGGGATGTGGGGGCCCAGGACCCAGTATGCAATTCAGCGGGGCTGTGAGAGGGGTGGGGAACCAGGAGCTGGTGTGCAGCTCAGCTGGACTAGGGAAAGGCCAGGAGCTGGCGTGGGACTTGGTTGAAGCCCAGTGGGTGGAGGCCGGTGGGGGGAGGAGAATGGCAGCAGGGGGGCCTGAAATGACCTCCAAGGTCCGGAAAAATCCCTCATCCAGGACCAGTCAGGTCCCAAGGGTGCCAGACCAGGGAGGTCCAACCTGTAGTGAAGTTCTTCAATGCAGGACCTGAAGGCACTCGGGTACCAGGAAATGAGCAAGGCATAACAACTCTACAGACCACAACAGGGTTCCTGAAATGGGATGGGGAAAAGGTTGGATACTGGCCTAGAACAGGGGTGGGCAATCATTTTTAGAAAATTTTTGAAGTGGCCCCGGGCCACACAGGAAGGAGCAGGGCTTCGAGCAGAAGGGGCGGGGCCAAGATATTTCCAGGTTCCCCACCCCCAGACAATGATTGGTCTGGCAGTGAGGGAGGGCCTTTGCCCCCACCCCAAGTTCCCCCAAGATGCCCATGCCCCTGGTGTGGGAGGAGACTTCCCTTGCTCCCCTACCCCTAGGCCAATTAGGGCCTGGGGGCGGGGGAGGGTGCGAAGCCTCCTCTGCTCTCCCCCCTGCCTCCCCTGCGAGCAGCGTGCGGCGCTTCAAAGCACCACATGCTCCTGGCAGGGTGGGAGAAGGCTTAGTGCGCTCCCCCACCCCCAGACCCTAGTTGGCTGGGGGAGCAACAGGGCCTCTGCAGGCCGGATCCATCTGCTTGGCGGGCCGGATTTGGCCCGTGGAGGCCTTTTTGCCCATCCCTGGCCTAAAACCACCCAGTTTCATAATCCCTAGGACACAGGGTCTGCAGCGATCTCCTGCTGTATCTGAGACCAAGCAGCAGAAGAGGAGAAGCATCTGAAAGGGATCAAGTTTGGGGGATGGACAAATCAAACACAGGGTGTTTTTTAGTATCCTCTTCCCTGGCAGGGTGGTTTGAGTTGATTTTGGGCCTGGGCTGCTCAATTTTCACAGTGATTTTGCACGACTGATTTATACACCCATAGGTTTCTCACCAAAGCAACAAAAAAGAGCTTGAGGGGATATCTGCTCCCCCTGGAAATGAGAAGTGCTTCTGCAACCCATCCCATCCCTAAGCAGCACAGAAAAGCCCAGCCTGACTTCAGCTCACCCCAGCCCCCAGACAGCTCCAGCTGACGTACCCTGTAGGAGTGGAACAGCTCGATCGCGCGGAGGACATCAAACTTCCTAGCCATGAGGAACTTGACAGCCACATTCCAGGAAAGCGGAGACACATTGTACTGCACGGTCCACTTGTTAATCTCCTCCAGGAACTGCTTCGTGGCCTATTGAGAGAGACACACACACGCATGGTAAGGCAAGAGGGAAGATGCACCCCAGGGTCTGAACACACCAAATACCATGGGATGGGAAATAATCCAGCACAGAAACGATTCAGAAGCCCAGTCTAATCCCACTGTGTATCTGAAAGCATTAGACGCATCAGATAAGTAGGTGACACATGGTGAGGCAGAAACAATGCAAGGAGGAGATGCAAATCACACCAGCAAAGCAGCCTGCAAAAATAGGCAGAGAGAAAGAGATGGGATGATTGGACAGCTGGCAGCACAGCTGGACAGTCTGATGAACCAATCACTGCAGTTTCATTCTGTTCATCATCAATCCCAGTAGCCAATGAGAGCACTGAGAACAAACACGCTCTCGCTGATTAAGCTATAAATGAACAGGGATCGGTCATTGGTGCATTTCTCCATTGACACAGGTCTCCGGAATTTGCCTCTTGCTTTCCAAGGCACCAGGAAGCCATAGGAGGGCTGGCTCATAGCTACGTGTGGTTCCTTAGACAAGCCTCAGAGGCTGAATCTGCAAAGCCATTCGCTATCTTTGGACACCCCCACAGCAGACCATCCAGAAGCAAGGAGAGAGAGCCGCCCTGCACTGCTGCACACCAGCTGAGAACTACTGCACCGTTGCCACATGATGCCAGGCATGGAAATCCTGTCTGGCTTCACTGTACCAGAGTCACAGACTCCTACGGTCTCAGCTAAGTCTCCCCTGGGAGACCCAGGATCAGCTCCTCCCAGCATCAACTTTGTGCTCTCTCACCAGTTACAGCGACAGCACTGAGGCTGTGGATCGATCACAGACAAGGAATTCAGGCAGACACAGAAATAGGGCTGGGTGAAATCCCAAGCTCTGGGAAGTGCAGGAGGTCAAACCTGGTGAACCTAATGGTCATCCGTTGCCTGAAATCTACAAACTAGTCCACGTCCTTAGTTACCGGCCCACCTTGTGAGACACAAGCTGTATCTCTGACCCCCAGGAGTTGTGTATACAGCACAGTACGTACACGCATTTCAGACAGTAAATGCCAAACCTGTAAACTCTTGCCCTACCGAGAACAGAATCTAATGGCAAAGCAGGTGTGATCCATGATGGGATACAGACAGCATGGGAAGTGGTAGCGGTTGCTGTGGAATAGGCATCGGTTTACACAGCTTATGAGAGAGAGAACTGGGAGCCGGGAGAGGACCTTGGCATGGAAGAGGAGGTGGCACCAATGCTGAGAGACAAGTAGGGGTGCGTGGTCAGAGTAGCAGAGTTTGGGATGGAAAAAGGGTGCCAGGGAAGGGCAGTAGAGACCAAGGGAGAAGAAGGAGGAGGCTGAAGTCATTGGGGTAGGAGGCTGGTAAAGGATGGAACAGCTTGGTAGCTGAGATGGAAAGGAGGAGGCAGAGCCAGTCTTAGGGGTGGGCGAGCTGGGCAATCGTCCAGGGCCACCATTTTTAAGGGGCCACCGACAGAGCCAGTCTTAGGAGTGGGTCGCGACCGCATTTCGGCCCAACCTCCTGAATCCTCCTCTCAGGTTTCCCTGCTTACTCCCTGATTTTATTTTATTTTATTTTTTGCAAATTTTTGTCCGGTATTTTTTTGAAACCATCTGGCAACCCTACGGGTGAGCCGGCCAATTGCCCAGGACTGCCAATTGGTTAGGACCAGCCCTGGGAGGAGGGATGAATTTGGTCATAGATGAAGCAAAATGGTTTGGCAAAAGCTTAACCATGGGGCAGAGGAAAGAGGAGTCTCAAGGCTTGAACGAGGTGAGAGATGGTGCTGCTGTGAAGAAGACACAGAAAAGGAGCGGAGAGGGGATTCTGCCTGACATACAAGCTCTGGTTTGCATACACTGGCTTGTCTGAGTCACCAGCCACACACCCCAGGAGAAAAGTCTCAGAGGGGGAGCCATGTTAGTCTGAACTGTAAAAACAAACAAGCAGTCCTGTGGCACTTTAGAAACTAACAAATGTATTCAGTCATGAACTTTTGTGGCTAAAACCCACTTTATCAGATGAGGTGGAGTGGAAATGACAGAATCCAGGGTATATATAACAGCAAAAGAAGTTTACCAGTCAATTGTATGACCAGTGGTAATGAAAATAATTAAATCAGGGTGGATGTGTCTCATTCACAGCATTTGATGTGGAGATGCGAATATCAAAAGCAGAGTGATTGTCTTTGAAGTGCGTTAATCAGTTAATATCTTGATTCAAGCAAATCGGGAGTGTGGAACCTTTTTCAGGTCACTGACCCATGGGAAAAAAATCAGTTGGGGGCCGCACACAAGTGAGAAGCAAAAGAAAAACAAACCAAACCCTCACTGTTGTGGCTCCAGACTGAAAATGAGAAAGACACTCCTGGCATTCCCCTCACACACCAGAGCCTAGTGCCACAACGTCTAACATGGCCGGCTGAGTGTGGCTAGCTGGCTTGAACAATGTGGCTATTTGGCCAGTTGAGAATGGCTAGGTCGCTGTAGTGGCTACTGCTTCAGAACTGGCTTAGTGGATCCCAGGGTAGTAGATTTTGTGCTCTCCAGCCCCGCGGGCTCCCCAATGGTCGGGGGGAGGGAGGGGGGCAAGAGCCCTGAGCTTCACGGGCCAGATCCAGGCAAGCCTAGGGCTGCATCCGGGCCCTGGGCCTTAGGTTCCCCACCCCTGTGGTAAATGAACTCCAGTTCAGCAGTCTCCCTCTGTAATCGAGTGATAAAATTCCTTTGTAGAAGGATGGCTACTTTTAAAGCCATTATTGAATGTCCAGGGAGGTAAAATGTTCCCCCTCCAGTTGTATGTGTGTCACCATTCTTGATGTCTGATTTGAGTCCATCTATCCTCGTGCAGAGACTGTCCAGTCTGGCCAATATACCTGGCAGAGGGGCATTACTGGCACTTGATGGCATAGACCACATTGGTGGATATGCAGGCGGATAATACCCTGAGGGTCTGGCATCTGTGGCTAGATCCTGTGATGGCGTCGCTACTAGAATCTGTGGACAGAGCTGGCAATGGGGCTTGTTGAGGGGGAGGTTCCTGGGTGCGTGTATCAGTGGTGTGATGTGCGGCTGCTGGGGAGTAGTTGCGTCGAAGGAGAGGAATCAGAGTACAGGCAGGGAGGCAGATTTGGGTTTCTGGCAGCCTCAATCAAAGCAAATGAGCTTGGTTAGGTCCCCACCAGGCATCTTTCTATAGTGTTTGAAAGGAAATGTCAGAAGTCTTAGCCTGTACATAGGCCAGCGAGACAGCTGCGGAAAGGGGAGGGCAAGTCTCCCAGAAAGAAGAAACTTGAGGCTAAAAACAAGCCATACTCCTGTTAGTGCTCCAACCCCAGGTATTCCTCATGCAACCCCACCTGGAAAGCAGACAGACAGAGACCACCAAACGTGGCTAGATACCAGAGACGGAGGTACAGGAGGGGGGATGGCAAAGACGGATAAGGAATGGTGTCCCTGGCCTCTGTTTGTCAGAGGGTGGAGATGGATGCAGGAGAGAGATCGCTTGATCATTACCTGTTCTGTTCACTCCCTCCGGGGTACTTGATGCTGGTCACTGTTGGCAGACAGGCTACTGGGCTAGATGGACCTTTGGTCTGACCCAGTACGGCCGTTCTTATGTTTTTATGACATAAAGGCCACCAGCCATGGCTTGAGGAGCTATATTCCTACCTGCTTTCAACACCACATTGGCTGGGAACCAGCTACCACCACCCAGAGACACAAGCTGTAGAAACGCAAGGGGAAGAGAGACTAACGCCTTGGACAACCCAGGCCAACAAAGAAAGCTCAGGGCAAAGGAAAGAAGCACACACACACACACACACACACACACACACACACACACACACACACACACACCATCCCTCTGCCATACCTTGCCTCTCCACAGAATCGTGCAGCTGTAACCCCACACGGGATCTGGAGGAGTGTTAGTTCCCTCAGTGCTCCCCAAGACAACGCTTTGCTTTTCTAGCCAGGACAACACGTTTTTTGGCTAACCGCCAGCTGGCATCCTCCAAAGAGCCCAGCAGAACAAAACCCCAAATATGCTGCTGTGAGAGCACAGGAAGGACGTTCTCATCCCTTCTGGGCTGCTGATCGTTTCACAGATAAATAACTGACAATAAATCTCCAGATAGAAGAAATCCGGAGTCCTCCATCGAATGGGATGCACCACCCAGCAAGTTAGAAAGATGGCTCTCTAGAAAAATATACCACATGTCTATTTCACACAATTCTCTTTCTCCAAGCTACAGCAGCATTGCCAACGCTCGTCATTTCATGCAAGGCTCATGATATTTGGGGCTTTCCCTAGAACCTCAGCACTGGAAGTCGCGTAAATATAGGAGAATCTCGGCTTGCATTAAAACCAGGAGATGATCTCTGAGCGCCAAGGTGCAGCTGGCCAGCTCTCGTTGTTGCCACAGAGGCAATAGGATCTGGGGGATGTTTTCAAACGTCTACGTTTTGCCTTTGAAAATGTCACCCTTGGTGAATAGGGTGCAGGGGTGTAATTCAAGACAGTTGAGTGCCCTCGCTGGCTCAGTCAGTCTGTATGCTGCTGTAAGGCTAAGCAAGTGACTTTACCTGTCTGTGCCTCGGTTTCTCTCCCCCTCCTCTTTGCCTATTTAGATGGGGAGCTCTTTCAGCCCAGGGGCTGTTTCTCAGTCAATATTTATACAGCACCTGGCGTGGTGGAGCCTCAGTTGTGGTTGGGCCTCCATGCCCGATGGTAATACAACCATCAGAGAACAATAATCTCTGTGACACATAGCTCCTCTTCTGAAACGGCCTCTCCTCCGGGGGGCAATTTCCTGGCTCTGCCTCCGCTGACCAGGATGGGATTCTTGGCGTGTTGCACAGATCAGCTCTTTCGGATTTAGCCTGCAGATGGGCCCTTGTGCGAATAACCTGGTCTATACAGTGATGGGATCTTCATAGAGAGGACAGATACAAACGTGCCACTCGCTCTGCTCCGTCCTTAGCAACAGCAGCACCAGCCTTGCAATTTCCTCTCTAGTTTTTGTACTGCCCCTTTGAATAAAAGGGAGGGGGGATGCAACTAGCCCAGCTCTATGGGACAGCGACTGTCTCTGACAATCTGCTTATGCAGAGCTAGCACAATGGGGTCCCATTAGCATTTCCTGCTCCTTGGCAGCCCTGTAACACAAGTCATGATCGCGGCCTTAAGGTTGTGGAATAAACTTTTTTTTCGCGCGAGGGGAGAGAAGGAGAGGGGGAGACAACCCTGAAGGTTTTTCCCCACCCTGGTTTTTTTTTTATCTGATGAGTTTCTCCACCATTCCAAAGCACATCCAGCAACAGAACAGAAAGCTTTCGGATACTAGCAATGTGAGTCAACTTGCAATTGGAGCATGAAAACTTTGATCCCACTGAGTGAAACGGGAAGTGATGAGAGCAAAGTTATTGTTTCCAACGAGGCATAACAAGAAGAAAGTCACAGAACTGCCTAGAAGGGAAATGGGAGGAGTCGCTGCTGACGGGAGACAGGGCCATGGAGCGTGGATGAAAACAAGACAGACAGACAAGACAACTATATTTAATACTGTATCAGTTTTAGATGCCAGGTTCAAGCAGTTAAGCATTGGCTGAGTAAATATTTGCAGGGTGCAAACAGTGCATGCACACACACTTAACTTGAAACACATGCATAAGTATTTATAGAATCCAGGCCTTAGATTTACTTGGCTGAAGCTTCATAGTAGGCTAAGTGCTGAAAAAGCAAATGAGTTGGTAAACTTGAATCAGTATTGAAGGGCTGATCCAAAAAGACAGCAAGGCTGAACTCGTTAGTAGACGGAGAACTTGCACATTGTGTTTTGCTTATGGACCTGCAAGTTGATGCACTGGGCCCCATTATGTTTGAAGGCTCAATACAGGTACAACATGTGTTATGCACCTGGGGCTCCTTTGTGTGGTCTTTTCGTGGTGGTGGACATCTTCCCCCCCGGTAGCTCTTTCATCTGCGTCATGAAAGCCCCCATCACACACATCAACTGGGATAAAGCAAAGGCTTTGCAAGATAGTAGACATAGCCAAAACCTCATATGGTGACAAGTCCAACTCCAAAGCTCTGATAGAACATGCAAACTTACAAATAAAAGCTAGGCCAGCCTCCCAAAGGCACTTGGAGAAGAGAGACTCTGCACCAGGAAATCCAAAGTGACACCCTTTGTTTCTACTCTGGATTGTCACTGGTGTAAATCAGCTGGAAACTAGCCCTCTCTGGGTGTCCCCTGGCATGGCTTTAAGCCAGGGTCAGCAGCTGCAGAGGATTAGAACTATACTCATGAGAACAGGCATTTCCCTAACGACATGAAAACCGACTAAGAACATGCATTCTTAGTCAGCTGATCTATTCATCCACTCGATGCAGCTCCAGTGTAAACCCCATTACAACCACTGGGGGAAATATGGCCTTGTTCCATGAAGTATGGAACTCAGGAGATACAACTTTTCCCTATGGAGACAACTTCTCTCCCCTGTAAGTAGGGTTGCCGGGTGTCCGGTTTTGAACTGGACAGTTCAGTATTTGAGCTTTCTGTTCGGGAAACAAATTGACAAAATATAAATGAGAAAATAGAAATGTCCAGTATTTTCTAAATAAGATATAATGTAGATTGTGATGTAATGTCAAGTGTGTCCAGTATTTTTGTTGAAACTACCTGTAAGGGGGAAATTAATTGCTTTTTCAATTAATGTAAAAAATAAATATTGAGCTAAATCAGTCTCAGACCATAGGGCAGAGCTTACAAATACATTATAAAAGAAATTATATTTGCAATTCATTTCTTCCTTCATTTACCTGCCAAGACTCGAATTCAGGATTCTGTTTCCCAAGAGATGGTGACAATGTAACCCCCCCCCAGCGCAGAGAATGTCAGGGGCTGCCCCCTATTGTGAGCTAAGGGGCTAGCGAGGTCATCTACTTTCAAAGGAGAAACACAAGAACTGTTGAACCAGGGTCCTGGCAGGTTGAAATAAAAACAGGCAGTCCCCGGGTTACATGGATCCGACTTACATCGGATCCCTACTTACAAACGGGGTGAGGCAACCCCGCACTAGCTGCTTCCCCCCCAGCAGACCAGGGAGACGCGAAGCTAGCGCCCCTCCCCCAGCAGACCAGGGAGACGCGGAGTGGCTTTTCTCAGCAGACACCTCAGCTTGAGAATAAAGGACTGAGGGAAGTGAGGTGTGGGAGAATAAACTGAGCTCTGGAGAAATGTTTGGCTAGAGTTTCCCCTACAATATGTACCAGTTCCGACTTACATACAAATTCAATTTAAGAACAAACCTACAGTCCCTATCTTGTATGTAACCCGGGGACTGCCTGTATTCCAGTTTCCTTCTTGCAACGCCTTTATTTGTCCTTTTAACGCAACGCACGTAGTGTGTGAATGATTTCAAGCCAAGCCCCGTGATGAGCCATGCATGTACAATTCCCATTAAAGTCGATTGGAGCAGACTGCACCTAACAGAGGACAGAATTTCATGTATTGCTGGCTGTAAGGGAAGCAAGTGCCCATCTGGCTCCCTAAGTATTCTCAGACTAACTACGCTCAGCTATCAATATTACATTCGGAAATGACTCCAAAAATCTATTTCGTAGGGGGAATTGCAGTAACACCAGGGCTGTGTCTAGACTGGCCAGTTTTTCCGGAAAATCAGCCGCTTTTCCAGAAAAAACTTGCCAGCTGTCTACACTGGCCGCTTGAATTTCCGCAAAAGCACTGACTTCCTACTATAAGAAATCAGTGCTTCTTGCGGAAATACTATGCTGCTCCCGTTCGGGCAGAAGTCCCTTTTGCGCAAAAGGGCCAGTGTAAAGAGCTGAGATTTGTTTTCCGCAAAAAAGCCCCGATTGCGAAAGTGGCGATCGGGGCTTTTTTGCGGAAAAGCACATCTAGATTGGCCACGGACACTTTTCCGCAAAAAGCGCTTTTGCGGAAAAGCGTCTGTGCCAATCTAGACACTGTTCCGAAAATGCATTTAATGGAAAACTTTTCCATTAAAAGCATTTCCGGAAAATCATGCCAGTCTAGACGTAGCCCACGAGAATACAACTCAGACCAGAGCCCCATTGTGCTAGGCGCTTTACGGATACATATGAAGAGAAAAATCCCTCCCCTGACGAATTTGCAGTCCAGGTACAAGGGACAGTAAAACAGAAGCACACAGAACTGAAGTGATTTGCACCAAGTCCCAACAGGGTGAATGGCAGAGCCAGAAATGTGCAGGTTTTCCGACTCCGGTGCATTAGCGTTAGCTGGGTCCAGTAGGTAAGTGTCCACCTAAGTTTTTCTATGACCTTCCCCCCCAACCCATCTGTCCCAGACAGTCTCCAAACTCCTCCTTAAACAGCTTATTGGAGCTGTTGTTAAAAGCCTTTGAATTTCTCACTATGGACACACACAAATTCCAGTTAAATGTGCCAGTATGGATTTACCTGTAAATAAAACCCCCTCCGGCAAGCCAAACAACCTCCCCCAGTCAGCTAGTGTTGTTCCGTGCAACACAGAACTCAAGGTATGCATGAAATACAGCTTTTCCCTATGGAAAAAGATTCTCTTCCCTGTAAGAGGGAAATGAATTGCTTTTTCAATAAATGTTTAAAAAAACAAAACAAACCACCTTCCTAAGCCGTTCTTAAACCATAGGGGTGAGCTTAGAGCTTACAAATACATTATAAAAGCAATTATATTTGCAATTCATTTCCTCCTTCATTTACCTGCCAAGATTCTGTTGTTTTCCCAAGAGATGGTGACAAACCAAACTACTTTTAGGTTTAGAGAAGCTGTGAGGGAGCCACAAACAACAGCTGGAGGGGGCTGACAGAGGGCAGAATATTGACGTGTGCCCCTACTTTGAAAAAAAGTTCCTATGGTTTTAAAACTGCCATTCTCTCTCATTTCACTTGCACCCCCAGGATTGTCTTTGTACTCTAAAGCATGTTTTAAGAACAGATGATACGAG